GACTGGTTGGCCAGAGGCGTTTCCATTAGGGGATATATCCGCGGAAACGGTTTCTAAGGTAATTTTCGAGGGGTGGATTTCGCGTTTTGGCTGCCTCATTCAGCTTACCAGCGACCAGGGCAGACAGTTTGAAAGCAATTTTTTTTTTTCGAAATTTAATTAAATATTTAGGTGTTTATAAAACCAGAACTACTCCTTACCACCCGCAGAGCAATGGGCTGGTTGAGAGATGGCATAGATCCCTTAAGGCCGCGCTTATGGCCAAGTTGGATTCTAAGACTTGGGTTGAGGAACTACCTATAGTTTTGTTAGGCCTGCGAGCAGCCACGCAGTCAGACACTGGCGTTAGTGCCGCCGAATTAACATACGGTCAATCTCTAAGGCTGCCCGGAGATTTTTTTGGTGATAAATGTAATCCAAAATTTTGAATCACAGCGAATATGTCGAACGTTTACGAAAGATGACAAGCGACCCGAAACCTAAGCCTACGGCACATAAGGACTCTCGTACAGTATTTGTTAATTGCGATTTAAATAGCTGCACGCCAATTTTTGTTAGGAGTGACCTCATACGGAAATCATTACAACCTCCATACGAGGTGCCTTTAAAATATTTGAACGTAAAGGAAAAAATATCCTAATAAAAATGCCCGGTAGAGATGTATTTATATCTGTAGATAGGCTTAAACCCGCTTATATTAGCGATAGCCAAAACGTAAAAAACGTAGATAATAGTAGTGTTAAGGATATTTCTTTAAAAGATTGTAATATTAACATAAACGGAGCGGATACAGTTGATCGTCCGCTCAGCTACACCACGCGTAGTGGCCGTATTTCAAGGAAGCCCGTACGTTTAAATTTATAATTTACATAAGTCGACTCAATGAATATTATTTAGCGTTATTAGAAAAATTTATTCTTATCGACGCTGACTTTCGTGTAGTACATACGTACATTCTCCGAATAAACAAACTATTATTTTAATATTAAATAATGGGTAACACGGTGAACAAGGATGAGGTAGTTATCGCACAGTCTGAAGCAGCGATGAAAGAGGCGATCATATATTGGTTGGGCTGTTCTGATTTTCGTGATAACGGTTATGATCCTGTATTTCTTCTGCCGTTACCGGAAGGCTCAGGTTAAGAAGTGGGTGCGGAAGCAGATGGGGTTCGTGCAGGAACAAGCCTTGCAAATGACTCAAGCTACCAGAGCCAGCTTCCGAAGAGCTCACGACACGCCCAAATCGCCGACTAAAATAGAAAATTGTTAACGGGTTGTGTTAAATGGTGTTTGGCGATATCAGACGTAGTGTCGTTTGTCTAGCTTATAAGTAGTGTTTAAGCAAATATTCTGTAATAATTTAAGCAGATTCAAATTGTATTATAATACTTGTGGCAATTTTTTTTTAACTGAAATGAATTAAAATGTGTAATACACCTATGTTTTAACTTTTATCATTGCAACTCGCTGTTATTATTAATTTAAGCGTTGATAGCTACTGACGCATCAAATGTAATTCCCAGTGTTAAGACATATGATACCAAGTGTTTGTGCATTACGAGTTGATAAACAGTACGTTGTCATCCGGTTCTGTCTATATCTTATTGTTCGTATATTATTGTATCTTAAAATATTTTCTTTTTTTGGGGTAATGATCTAACTACACTTAGTATAGTACCTATGTAACTGAATTGTAGACAGTGACGATCTGGCGGGCACTGTTGTTACACGCGTAATAAAATGTAATTAAACGATATATCAGATTATATACTAAAGGGTGATCTGAAGAAAGAGTTGGAGAAATTAAAGGCACAAGGAAATAAATTTTCCGCTTCCCTGGACGATAGACTTCAGCTGGTGACCGACGTTACATTAGCTTTACATTCATTGTTCAAATTGGGAGGAATCTGTGACTAGCGAGAATAACGGGCAGGGCAACGGCGAAGCGTTGTGCCAATATTTTGAAGGACAATTTAGCATCCTATGATATATATTTAGAAGAGGACATAGCATGCATAGTGACTCACGGATCAAGCGTGATGGGTCGACAAGTGCCTTAGTATCATATGGATCGCACATGGTATCCAATGTGCGAAACATTATTGACAGTTGGATGCTATATACAAAAAATGATGAAAATGAGGATACTGACTCTGGCAGTGATAGTGAAGAAGGATTTGTAGTTGAGTAATACAGGGTGGCGCAATAGAACGTGTATATTGCGTCATCTTTTTTCGCGGAGTAAACAGTGCGCGGGCGGTGGGAGCCTAGCGTGGTTGGATAGTCGTAGACACTCGTGGAGTTTTAGTAACCATGAGTCACTTCGACGGGAAGCGTCGCGCTTTTTGTGTTCGCGAATGTATTGTTCTGAATATGGATTAAAAGACATTAATGAATGCTCCGAGTGCAAATTTAATTAAAATATGGATAAAGCGTTTTGAAGAGACCGGTTCTACGTTTAAACCTAGGAAAAATCCACAAGTGAGTAGGCACACAGGAAGCGATCGGCGGCTTTAAACTTGTCGCGACGAAGTTTACAGCAAATTTTGAAGTTGGATCTTAAACTGCATCCTTATAAGATCCAGTTAACACAGGAATTAAAGGAGGCAGACTTCGGAAAAAGGTTGGCATTTACTGAAGAAATGCTTAGTCGATTTTCCTCTTTTGACAACATCCTTTTTTCTGACGAGGCTCATTTTCATTTAAATGGGTTCGTAAACAGACAAAATTATCGCTATTGGAACGACGAGAATCCAAAAATGAAACATCAAAAACTACTGCATAGTCCGAAAGTAACGGTGTGGGCAGCAATTTCAAGCAAAGGAATTATTGGCCCTTTCTTCTCTGAAGATTCACGAGGACGAAACATCACCGTTAACACCGACCGCTATGTTGCGTTGTTAGAGGGATATTTGACTCCAGAACTTGCGAGATCGAGAATAGCGAATACGAGGACTTGGTTCCAACAAGACGGAGCGACCTGTAACACATCAAATGACTCTATGGCGGTTGTGAGACAGATTTTTCCTGCAAGACTAATTTCCAAAAGAGGTGATATTCCTTGGCCCCTACGTAGCCCTGACTTGACGCCTCCTGACTTTTTTTTTTGGGGATATCTCAAACATAAAGTCTACATGAATAATCCGAGGAAAATCAGTCAACTAAAGGAAATGGCAGCTATAACCCGAGATTTATTGACAAGAGTTTTCACAAATCTGCGTTCGCCTTTAGAGAAGTGCCGTCTTCGTGAGGGCCGTCATTTATATGATGTTATTTTTAAATAATAAACTACATTTAATTGCCTAATCATCCTACATTTTATTTCAACTATACCTTTTGTATTTATTTTTTTAGCATATACTTAATAAATGCACGTTCTACTGCGCCACCCTGTATCTAAATAGAAACCAAGACCCATATTTATACAGGGATGTGAATTTAAAAAATGTACCTAATAGATAAAATGCAAAAAATAGTTAAATTTTTTAGGAAGTCACCCATCAGAAAAGAGATTCTCAATAACTATCTTTAAGAAGAACATAATAAAACGGGTTTGATCCTAGACTGTAAAACCAGGTGAAGCAGTTTAGCATTTATGTTCACATGATTTTTGGCATCAAAAGACCCTATTTTGAAGACTATTATTTAAATTATTATTAAAAGTAAGATTCCACGTTTAGTTCAGATGAGCTGGTTTTACTCCAGGAATTGTTCACTTTGAATATTGTAGAGGCAACAGTAGAGGCGCTGTGCCAAGAAAATGCAAATCTACTTCCTGCGGAAACATCCCTTCAATGTATGGTTACGGATCTTGAAAAGACGAACAGTTTTATCAGCGACAGGCTATTCGAAGTTCTGAAGAATAGAATTGCTCAGAGACGCCTACCAAATTTAATCTGCACAATAAAATATCTCTACAATCCCAGTAAATATTACATGGAGCCTATCCTAACCTAACCTTCGTCTATCTTTCCATCACCAGGCAATAACATTACTTTTTATTTTATATAGGATAGGATGACAAACGAGCACACAGTCCACCTGATGGTAAGTGGTTGCTGCGGCCCATAGGTATCTACATCTATCCTCGATTACGAATTAAAATGCAGATGCGTTGTCATCCGCGAGGACATAGGTGGAATGCCTCGTTTCCAGTAAAAAGGGTATCCGGTTCTCTACACTCACCATACGAAACACAGCATCATTAAGCTACTATTTGACGCTGGTATTCTGTGAGAGCGTGGTCCCTCCCCGGTCGAGCCGACCCATTCGTGCTACAACTATACTACAAATATAACTGCAGCATGGCTCTACCACGTAAACTTATTTTTGTTAATATTATTACTTCTGTACGTACAAAAGTAGAGTGTGAAAGGGTGTTTTCATCAGAAAAATACATTTGCAACTATTTAAGATGTGCTTTAAAAGATGATTCCCTAGACGCGCTAAGTTTCCTTAGGTTCCACTTACAAGAAAAACGTTGAATAGTTTATTTTTATTGTAGGATAGGATTTCACTTGACGACAATCATGCTTAGAAGAAAGCAGTGATGTGGTCTTGGTTGCAACGCACTTGCCAAGAAGTAACCTACTCACTTTTGCCTTGAAGGTACTTAAGTTATACGTGTAAGTGTAAGAATAGGCCAAAACTAGATGATAAGATTAACCCTGGAGTGGTCGCGTGGACTACATATGTAATCCACCTATACAAAATCGATAATTTCTAACAAACGATTTGCGTTAACTTGTGGCGCCTCCAGCTTCTTTTAAATGAATGATTGAGCGACGCACTCAGTGCAGCGCAAGCACAGGACTCGCCCGGTTGTGTCACAGGAGCTCAGTAAAGTGCGTGGACTACAATTGTAATCCGCGCGACCAACTACGTGAGTATTTTTTTTACATTGAATTATTATGTTTTCGTTTATTTTAGATAAATAATACTTTATTTTGTTCTGTTTTGTTAGATTATTGTAATATAATATTTGTTTTTAGACAAAAAATGGACAATGCACGTGATGCACTAATTGAGTCGTGGCTGGCTGAAGTTGATATCGGAAATGATGTTTATGAAGCTGAATCGAGCTCCGACGAAGATGTTGATAATTTAGAAGAGGAAGATCATCATCAATCGGAATCTGAGCAAGAGCAAGACATACCAGGTGAGGGATCTGACGAAAGTTCTGAAGAAGATAATCCACCTCAGCAACGCCGCCGACGCACGGACTTTTACAGGGGAGTAGATGATACATTATGGTCGAAAACAGTTCCCCTAAATAGAGGTAGAATACGAAGTCATAATATAGTGTTTGTACCCCCAGGGCCGAAAGGAACAGCTCGCCAAAAAACAACCCTAGAAGACTGCATGTCACTGTTTTTTGATGATCGTATCATCCACGTCATTACCAAATATACTGATAAGAAAATTGATTATATCGAGGAGAAATATAGAAAAGAACGAGATGCTACACAGACCAATGAAACTGAAATTAGAGGTTATATAGGAATATTAATAATGGCTGGAGTAGTTGGAAAAAGGAAAAGTACTGCTATTATATTTGAACATGTAAAACACACAGGGATCGACGCCATATATTTGACAATGTCGGAAAAAAGGTTTAAATTTATAACAAGGGTATTATTTTTTTTTTCGATCTTTGATGATATTGAAGACCGCCAAGACCGTGCCAGAATTGATAAGTTAGCCCCGGTAAGAGAGATTTTTGAATTGTTCCTTGCAAATTTTCAAAAATATTTTATTCCTAGTGCCGAAATGACTTTGGATGAACAGCTGGTAGCTTTTCGAGGCCGCTGTCCTTTCAGGCAATATATTCCAAATAAACCGGCAAAATACGGGGTGAAAATTTTTACGCTATTGATGTCACTTCCTTACACATATAATTTAGAAATATATGCTAGGCCAACAACCAGATGGTCCTTTTCGCCTGAGCAATGAAAGACAAGTTATTGTTATGAGAATGGCACAGCCTGTCCTTGGTAAAAATATGAATATCACCATGAATAACTGGTTTTCTTCACTTCGAACTGCAAAACAACTTTTCGAAAACGGTACAACTATGGTCGGGACGGTACGGGAAGATAAACGAGAAGTCCCTCGGGAATTTCGTGTCGCAAGAGAAAACCCACTACATTCTTCCAAATTTAGGTTTCACCCACCATGTACACTGTTGTCTTATGTGGCAAAACCCAATAAAGTTGTTATTTTGATTTCGGCGATGCACAACGATGCTACAATTGATGAAGACTCTGGAGGTAGTCGAAAGCCAGAAGTTATAACTTACTACAATAGGACTAAGAATGGAGTCGACCTGGTGGATAAAATGTGTTCCATGTATGATGTAGCAAGAAACTCAAGAAGATGGCCTCTTACAATTTTCTTGCGCTTGCTGAATTTGAGTGCACTCAATGCATTGTACATTTACACGGCAAACAGAAATTACGAACATGTCAGCCGACGTGAGTCCCTTATTGACTTGTCTCTGGCATGGATGAAACCACTAGCGCAGAAGAGACTAGAAAAAAAAACATTTCCAAGAACACTCACAATCAAAATCAAAGATTGTCTTGGTATTACATACGCAGAAACTCAACCCACTACCTCGCAAGGTACATCGAGCAATGTTGTGCGCCGTTGCCATGTCTGTGGAAGAGCGCGAAACAAAAGTACTAGAAAGATGTGCACCAAGTGCAGTAAGTTTGTATGTGGAGATCATTTAAAGATTATGTGTCTTTCCTGTGCAGAAAACAACATTTAGATATAAGTTTCAACTATTTTTATACATTGTGATGTTAATTAGAACAATCCATGTGATTTTTGTGCCATTTTAGAGAAGATTTTTTTATTTTACTGATTATTTGTAACACAGAGGTTGTGATTTACTTAATTGTGATAATTATGTTTAAAAAGAGAAAACTGTACTGATTTTATTTTTATTTAATTAATAAAAATTTTATGAATAAATCTTTTGTTTTTTTTCAATTTGTATATGGATTACGTATGTAGTCCACGCGACCACTCATGAAACTTTAAGGCGTCGTCCTAATTGACAGCGATCGTACGATGACACGATGCGTTCTCGTCGTGCGATGAGTTCAAACATACAGATTTTATCAGAGTGTCCTATTTGAACCTCGCAAGTAATCGTGCGAGCCCATGAAATGCTTAATAACGATCGTACGATGCGTTTGATCGTGCGATTTTTTTGATTTGTTTGATTGTGCTCTTTTGAGTGTCCTAATTGGTTACATACGCGATGCGTCGACGCGCGAGGGGCGCGGGACGAAAGGGGCAAGGGCCAACACCAGTGACACACAGTAGGTACTCGGCTCGCTCGCGGCCGGACGCCATTTTGTGTTTTCATTCTTCGTGTAAAGCGTTTGGCTATTCTGTTACATACAAGATGACATTCGAAGAAGATTTAATTAACCAAGTACGTTTACATCCTGTTGTTTGGAATAAACAGAGTGAGGACAATAAAAACAGGTTGAAAAGTGAAAGAGCATGGGATATAATTGCGAGGAACGTAAATAAAACAAGTAAGTAGATAGTAATTTGAGCTTAGTTTTAATCACAACCAGAATTGTATAATGTATACCACACACACACACACACACTCACACTCATACCTTGGCTTAAGTATCTACTTAGTATAGTTAGATATAATTTGAATCGTAATCGTAAATCGTACCTCCATTCACTACTAAAGAGGTTCTGACATTTTTGTATGAAGCCTGGCATAGTGATTTCACGTTCGAAATTATGCACTGGACCCGATTTCACCCATGAGGAGCCTCAGTACGGGGAGAAAAATTGTGACAGCCAATGATGAAACATGTGTCAAGTAAATTATCGTTAGTGGTATACTTTAGAAGATATGAGGGTTTGAATCGTCAATATATTTTTTACATTTTTTATAATTTTATTTTCCCATAGTGGGGCTCCTCATAGGTGAATTTAGTATGCCAACCATGCACTAAGCCCTATTGACGTAAATTAACTGTTAATTAGGAATCATTTCTATTAAGGAAATAAGTGGTGAAGAGTTCTCTAGCGTTAATTGCTGTTATTGTAGCACGATTATTAACTCTATTACGAGGAAGTCTTCCAAAATTGTTATTTAATTGATTATTTGTTACAGATAATTCTGGTTCTCTCTTATCTCTGTGTATTATAATATTGTGCAACAGACAGACTGCCTTTACAATTTTAATTGAATTGTTCACAGATGTTTCGATGCTTTTTAAAAGAATTCTAAATATACTAGAAGCTATTCCAAAGGTGCATTCTATACCGACCCTTGTAGTAGACAATTTGAAAATAAATCTTGATTTATCTGCATTTCCTGTTGCTTGTGTTCTTGGATAAGGTCTCATTATGAACGTTTTCAAAGGAAAAGCCTCGTCCCCTAAAAATACATATGGTGCCACAATATCACTATTCGGTAATCGTTCCTCGGGTGGTAATTGAATATTTCCACTGTTAAGTTCTTGAAAAAATTTTGAATTGTTGAGAACACCTCCATTACTATCTTTCCCGTATGCACCTACGTCAATGATGCGAAATGTGTTGTCTGAATCGGAGACCGCTAATAAAACAATAGAGTAATAATTTTTGTAGTTGAAATACATGCTTCCAGAGAGTTGTGGCTTTACGACACGAATGTGTTTTCCGTCCAGATTCCCACAGCAATGTGGAAATTTATTTTTATTTGAAAATGAATTTGCTATTTCCTTAAAATCTTCGATACTTGGAAACTTCATATGTATTTCGTTAAAATTATTCCAAATTGCACTGCAAACCTCCATCACGATACTTGCTATTGCGGTTTTTGAAATGCGAAATGGCACTCCTAATTTCCGAAAAGGGGTTCCTGTTGTTAAGTACCTGTAAATAATAACACGTTGAATTAAAATTTATTGTTATTTATTACAGAAAAGGACGTTAAAACTAGGTGGCGACACTTAAGGGATGTCTTTCTAAAAGAATTGAAAAAAGTTCGTAAGCCTCGCTCTGGAGATCCAGGAAGCCCAAAAGGAACAATATTACTCAGGAAAGTGGACCTATTACCAACATATGTTGTTTTTAAAGGATGTTTCAATGCCTCGACCAACCGAAGGTAATAGTGTTCATCAAGAAACTGGAAATAATGATAATGATGCCAGCCTACCATCCACTTCAAGATCAGAGCAGAATCTTCAGTTGCCTGATGAAGAGAATTCTACTGCAATGTCTAATAGATCCGAGGCTTTTGTGTCTTCTGATGACGAACCACTGTCTACCAGTGCGCGCAGTACAATTACACAGAGCACGAGTGCTTTGTCAACTGAAGCTTTGGATAGTGGATTACAAACTGGATCCCAAAAAAGAAAACGTAAAGAAAATCAATCTTTAACCGAATATCAGCGTCGAATGATCCAAATCGAAGAAGATAAAATTAAAGCGTTTAAGGAGAAAGAAAAAGAAGTTGATGATGAAGATTTACTATTTTTGAAATCGCTAGCTCCATATTTTAAACATATGAATCCAGTGCAAAAATTAAGATTAAAAAGTAAACTACAGAATACAATAGCAGACGAAATTTCTCTAGCTATGCCATCACCCCTTTCAAACTCTTCATCTACTATGTTAATGTCAACCATACCTTCACCTGTGCACGCATCCTCACATCCATTTATGGCACCACCGACAAACACACAACAATTCTACGAATCATTTAATGCTGAATATGATTCTTGAATATAAGATTTTTTACACCTCAAGTTCTTTTTCTAATAAAAAAAATGTGTGATTATTGCTTTTTTTATACCGTCTTCTTCTTATCGTATGGTTGATGAACAACCTTTTAAGTTTAAAAAAAAAGTTTAAACCGCCCGTAGGCCTCCGACATGGCTTCACACACCGTTGAAAAATCTCTCAGGTGTGCTGGTTTCTTCACGATGTTTTCCTTCACCGTTTTTAGCAAGTGATAATAAATTTATAATACACACATGAATTCTAAAAGACATTGGTGCGTGCCGGGGTTCGAACCTGCAACCTTTGACTTGGCAGTCCAACGGTCGTACCACTCGGCTATCACTGCTTTTTTAAAACTCTTTCTACCTGCTTTTTTATACCGTAATAGTTGATTATAAGATTTTTTTAAAATTTGTAAATCAAGTAGTTTAAAACTAGAACTACGTAATTTTGCTGACTTAAGAAGTGTTTTATATACTCTGTTGCACATTAAACCGACATAATGACTACCTATATGAAAGAAATATAAAAAAGTAATAAATAAATATAATAAATACATAAAATATTTGTCTTTCATTTGAATGGTCTTTCAACAGGGACTTACAAATTGGAGGAAAATGGATACGCACGCATAATAATAATAAAAAACTTACCTGATTGTTAATACCAATCTTTCTTCCACACTAATGGGTTTTTTAAAGTTGGTCACTCTATGATTACAATCGCTACGTATTCCATTGCAGATGTAGTCAAATGTTTCTTTTGACATAGACAAATAATCGTAAAAGTCTTCTTCGTTATTTCGTACATCAAAATAAAGGTTGAAAAATTCACCGCGCAGATTCCTGGATCTATAAAGTATTTTATGTTGTCTACGTTTCCTTTTTTCAATGTCATTTGCAATTTTTAAAGCAATATTGCCCGACAGCAAAAACTGTGCATCTCTATAAAGAGCCATCATTAAAGTGGCGTAAGCGCGACGCCAGCCATCGAGCGACGGCATCGCACGATAGACATCGCGTGATCTATTAGGACACCTGTTAGGTCATCGTACGACCACTTTGATCGTGAGATGAAAAACGCATCGCGCCATCGTACGATCGCTCCCAATTAGGACGACGCCTTAGGGGCGCGAAAACTGCAGGGTTAAAACGCATTTTATTTTTGTACAATGTAGCATTGATCTGATTCTAATCTCATAAATTCTAATACTGATTAATTATATGTTTTCTATCACAGTTGAAAACCTTTCTTTTAAACTTTTTTAAGTTTTAAAATAATATTAAAATTTCATAATATTATGTAATATGTAAGCATCATGTGTAACGTTACGAAGAACCAAAAATAATGTTTAGAATTTAATACTTTATTTCTAGTTACATAAAGGATTTTAAGCATGGTTTTGTATTTGTAATAGATTTTTTGATTTTATTATTATATAAATAATAAATATAAATATTGTTATAATATTCAGATCTCGATTGACAAGACTGATGTGTAAGTTTGTTCTGGTAGTCTTGTTAAGAACCAACAACTTATAGTTTTTTGTAGGACTGTATTAGTGCCTTGAGAGTGAAGTTCGCCAACACGCATTGGGGCAGCGCGGCGGTAGGCAATTCCTTGCCCTAAAACCCTCTCAGAAATGAGCGGAGGCCTGTGCCCAGCAGTGGGATATATATAGGCTGTAACTTTACATTTTACCAGTGAATAACTATATGTGCAACTATTTTCAATAATAAATGAATATAAACTACACATGTGTACGTGTCTGTATCTCTTTACATTTGCCTGTAACGACTTCCGGATATACCGACGAAAATAGAGTGGTCCCTTCATCGTACACACACACACACACATATATATATATATATATATATATATGTGTGTGTATATATATCTGGTTTAGAAATGAGGATATCCGCAGTAAAACCAGAGTGACCGACATAGCCCAACGGATTAGTAAGCTGAAGTGACAATGGGCCGG